TTAAAGAAAGATTCCAAAAGATTCTATTTTATTAAGATGGAATGACAAGTATGCCCATAAATTAAATTGACTTTTTTTTCTCATGTAAGACCAAATACAATATGAGAAAAAACAAAAATCGACACCAAGGTGTCGAAAAACTATGCTACAAATCGACACTTAAGCGTCGAATTTCATAGGTAAAAATCGACATTGACATGTCGAATTTGTAGCACAAATTCAAATGTCGAATTTTATACCTAAAAATCGACATCTAAATGTCGAATTTTATACCTCAAATTCGACATCTAAATGTCGATTTTTACCTGTAAAATTCGACCTGTACATGTCGAATTCGTTTGCGCGGGATTTTTTTTGGAAAATCGATATTCTAGCTAAAAAAAACCCATAAATGCATACATTCTTGGGTTCTTCCATCGTATAATCTTCTATTTTGATGTCTTCTGACTCCATACTTGCCATCTTTGTAAGATTTGTTGAGTTTTGATGATTTTGAATTTCTAGGTTTTGTGGGTTAATGGAGGAGGAAGGAGAAAGGTCTTGTGAGTTTTGGAAGATGGAGAAGATGATAGTTGGTCTTGTGCTTTTGTGGTCTTGTGATAGGGTTTTTTGTGTTTTTGAATTTTTGGTCTTGCATATTTGGAATTTTTTATTTTTTTAATAAATAAGGGTATTATAGTATTTATACATTGAAAATTTTAATTTGGTCTTGCACAAGTGGAATTAGTCTTGCATATAGCCGCACCGCAGCCTTAAATAAATCCAGCTCATTCAAACTTATTTGTAAATAAGGAAAATCCATTTATACATACCAAAATTAACCCCAATTTATTGAAACCCAATTCAACTTCAATTTCATGATTTCACCTCAATTTAGCCCAATTTCATCAATTAACCAATTTTAACCATAATTTCAATTTTGACCCGCCACCACCGGAGACCGCCGGTCGCCGGCGTTGACTTTTTTTTTTTATTTGAAAAACTTTTTTTCCCCAGAATTTTTTTTTCGGCCGATCAACTATCGTTGACTGCGGTCTCCGGAGTTGACTTTTTTTTTTTTTTATATAATTTTGTTTTTTCTTAAAAAAAATATTTTAATTAATATTACTGTTATGGCTGCTAAATTATTGTCTCCGGCAGTTATTTAACTGTCGGAGACAGTAATTTAACTGTAAATTGATTTTTTTTTTCTTCAAAAATATTTTGTAGTTTAATTAATATTATTGTCTTTGCTACTAAATTACTGTCTCCAGCAGTTATTTAACTGCCAGAGACAGTAATTTAACTGTTAATTGATTTTATTTTTAAAATTTTTAATTAATATTACTGTATTCGTTGCTAAATTACTATCTCCAACAGTTATTTAACTGTCGGAAACATTAATTACTTTAACTGTTAATTGAATTTTTTTATTCTTAAAAAAATATTTTTAATTAATATTACTGTATTCGTTGCTAAATTACTGTCTCCAGCAGTTATTTAACTGTCAGAGACAGTTTTTTAACTGTTAATTGACTGTTTTTTTTTTCTTAAAAAAAAATATTTTAATTAATATTACTGTCTTGGCTGCTAAATTACTGTATCCAACAATAATTTAACTGTCTTAGACAATAATATTAATAATATTATTGTTCGCGAAAATAATATTCATAATATTACTGCCCCAAACAGTAATATTACCGTATGAGACAGTAATTTAGTAGTCAAGATAGTAATATAAATTAAAATATTTTTTTTCTAAGAAAATAAAAATTAGAAAAAAAAAAGTCAATGCCTTGAGACCGGCGGTCAACGGTGGTTAACCGGCCGGAAAAAAAATTCAGGAAAAAAAATGTTTTCAAAAAAAAAAAATAAAAAAA